TTTTTTTTTGTTTTTTAAATTTGCGGTTACAAGCACTGTTTACTGTTTTCATGAAAAATTAAATCCATTAACGACTAAATGGATTGGATAATTTGGAGGTTATTTTCGCTCCTTAAAAATGTTTATCTTTAGATAAACATACAACCGCAACTAAATCGGAAGCGGCCATTTTGAAACGTTTTCATTTTAGTAACGTCTAAAAGAAACAGAAGAATTTTTTAGAAATTCTCGTATAAACAAATTTAACGCATGGGCTATAAACCCGTGTTTTTGTTTTTTAATTTTCCTTAGTGAAATTTTCTCATAGAGTCATTAAAAATTGTGTTCAGTGTAAATATACAACGGTAGGGACAAACATGTTAAGGTTAAGCATCAGATATTGTCACATGCAAGCAACCCAACATACAGTGTTACCTATAAGAAACCCAACATTCACAATGATACAGGATAAAGGAAGACGACATTGGCGGATTGGTGGTGGTGGTAGTCTAACCGGACAATCCAGAATGCATTACTGTTGGGACGTACGCTAGTAAGAAGGGGAACATTATCGATAGGTATCTGTTAGAACAGCCAATTTGAAAGACTTAGAGCAAAAGATCTGCAAAGACACACAAGTTGGGAGTACTTGAGCCAGTAGCTGAAATCCACCACCTTAATAGAACTGGCCAAAGGTCAAGTAATTATCTCAACAAACAAAAAGTCAAACAATTAAAATAACTCCTTAGCTGTGCTTGACACGTCTTCGCCTTCTCAGATCAGGACTTTGATATGACCAACTTAACATATGGGGTCACTAATACCTATCGCCTCCCACACAAACATGCTTACTAGCGTCAACGTGGTACTAGTTCACTTTGATTGCATCATCGGCAGTTTACTTAAACCAGTCCAGCCAAAAAGCGTTTCAAATAGACAGGAACCATTCTCCAATTCAGTCTTTCTTTCCGTCATATTTTTCTCGACAATATCAGCCCCTATTAAAACATCTATACATTTTTTATTTGTATCAATATCACTTAAAATAACATTATGATTTTTACGCAAATGATCTATCGATGTGTCGTGTTGTACAGTCGAAGTGTTGCAAACCATGAAATTACATGCACAACTACTATTTAAATCTTCCGCTCGTACTATGAAACTATATTTTTCAGATTTAGATCTAATTTCATCAAAAAGTACCATGTGTCATTTCTTGCTCTCTATGAAGTACAAACTTAATTTTTCTGCTACCGTATCAGTAATCGCTCAAGCTGTCAATATTTTAGAATCCGAAAGTACGTTTTCTATTAATGTTTTTAGTCACACTATCAGGATTCGGTGAAAGTTACTAACTGTAAGTTACTTTCGGTCAAAGTTGCATTTAGTGGTCAGAGCATTGGCGCATAAAGCCAAATGTAACGGGTTCGATTCTCCGCGAGCGTGTGACAACAGCAACAATATTCTCTCATTAACTTGAGGTAATTTATAATGGATAAAAATTGCATATGAATTTTCACAATAATATTTACTTTTTATTTGATTCGTTATCACGTTTGTTTACGTCGTTTCCTTCCGCCACGGAAAAAAAAAAATATATCAATATGGTGTATTTTTTAGTACAAAAACAATTTTCGAGCTACGCCTCATATACTACTTACATGGTTCGTATTACAAAAAATACACATAACATTTTTATCCGCCGAAGCGATCAATATGTTCGCACTTGCTACGTCTTTAAAATACTCCGAGGTACTATCGAGGGAGTACTTCTGGTCCTCTTACAATTTTCGTCTTCTACTGGAACACTGAAACAAGTAAGTGCCATCTCGAGACGCTCCTCACTTTTAATTTCTATTTGTAAAGAGGCTATTAGAGGCTTTACTTTATACTAAGTGTTGTTTTATGCTTCATCATCATAGGGCTTTTGAAGTTCACCAATACACAAAGCACCTTTTCCGGGAGTGAGGAGTCTACCAGTCTATCTGTCGTAACGCCAAGTGATTCGAGAGGGCTAATATACTTTTCTTGTTTGTCGTATAGATTCAAAAGTATAAGCAATTTCTTATTTCCTTTTATAGCATTCCGCAATACAAATACCAGAAGTACACGCACATAACATTCAATAAACAAGTCGTTGGAGACAAATCGGTTCGTCAAACTTTTCACCACTTTCTCATAATTAGATTAATTTAGGAATTCGAAAAAGGTTGTTAAATGTGTATCTTTGGAGCACGGCGTTGTACGCGTGCGAAACATAGACAATGGGCGTGGCGGAAAAGGAAAGGTTAGAAACCTTCTAAATGTGGTGTTATAAGCGAATGATGAGGATAACGTGGGTAAAAAAAGGTTAAAAATGAAGAGGTATTAGAAAGAATAGGAGAATAGAGGACTCTATGGAAGTCAATAAAAAATAGGCGAGATAACTTGATAGGACACCTTCTCAGGCATGAAGGTCTAGTCAGAGACAAATTAGAAGCAGAAGCAGGAGCAGGAGTTAGAAGGGGTAGAGGTAGACCACTGTTCGCAAATAGTTAAGAATGTGGGTTGTTCTAGTTTTAGGGAAATGCGAAGTTTAGCTCAGGACAGGAAAGAGTGGAGGTACGTGTCCAACCAGTCCTAGGACTGACGATCTTATGATGATGATGATGATGAAGCGAATAACTTATTACTATATCGTTCGCGAGAGTACCGTAGATCGTAAAATCAACAGGTCGCTGAAACTTATTTTCCTTGGAAATTAGTAGAATTTTGGCATATTCAATCTAGTAAAATTAGAGCACGGCGTAGATTGCGCGACTGTGCTTGGTGATGAGTGTAAACTCGCCACTGTTACATTTTCCGTGGGTGCCACTGTACATTTAATTAATTCATCTATTAAAGCTTAGGCGTCAAAAACTGATTTCATAGGCGTCATCTGATGCCGTGTCAATATTCTCTTCTATTCCATTAGATTCACAAAGCGCTTTCAAATAACTTATTCGTCCAGTTCTGCTATATTCGTTTCTAAGGTTTGTAAGGAAATAATCTTCACTTTCCTATTAGCATCGTTCTCCATTTTGGTCAGAAAGGCTATGTGCGCCTTTGTCAATGTCATATGTTGGAATTTCCTTTGTTTCTTAAGAGATTCCATTCCATTCCAATCCGAAATATAGTAAATAGAGATTACAATCACATCGTCAAGCCTTTGCAAAAAATGTTTACTTGTACCACAAAAACAATAATACAAAATTAACAAAATGACAGACACCAAAAGGCAAAAAAGAACATCAAAAAGGTAGTACAAAAATAGCATAATGTGGTGCTTTTTTGAAATTACGGTTAATAACATTATAATTTTATATAGTACGAGCTTTCGGATTGACCCTGGCAATTGATTTGATCTAACATGGACTCGACTCCACGTGGACCTTCGTTCGGTCAAGCAGTCCGCTTTAATTCCTCGGTACAGACACGGGAGAAGGAATGGTAGCCATGCGGAGATGTCGGCGGATTAAAGTGCAACTGAGTATTCGTTCAGTCATTTCCGGATGTAGTCTACGCGCTAACAATAACTTTTTTTCCCGTAAAAAGTTATCTACGGGTTCAGATAGTTGATTATAAGTACCGAATAAAATCGCTCGGGCTGCGGCTGATATTCGGCCTATAAATTTTCTTTAAGCCTGTTCCAAGTTATGGTATATATAGTAGAAGATTGTTTGTCTAGGAATTCGATGAGGACGGCTACCATCGCCTAGAGCTATGTTTTTCGTGTGTGTTGGTTCCGTTGTCATTACCGCTTGACGCAGCAGCCACGTTGACTGTCATTGGCTCGACCATTTTGACAGATTTGGAGCTGTACGTGCAACCGCTGTGACGTGTTCTTTGATACGGTGATAAGGTATCGTGTTGTCATAATTTAGGAATCGGTTTGTCGGGGCCGTCAATGGTTAGTGAAACTCGTTGGAGGTTATTTGCGTATGTGTAGTTCTTGAATCTCGTTAGAAGTTGTCTTCGTACTGTGTGGGGTTCGTGAATTAACTTCATCCAATGTTGTGTTTGTGTTCGGCCCGACGTGGTTGAGCCCCACTGTTACCTTCTTCCTTTAGTGATTCGTAATAAACGGTGTTATTGGAGATTAAAATAAAAACTGGCTGAGCACTGACCACTTATTTAATTACTTCACGAACAACTATTAATGAATAACAACAGAAACAAAATGAAGTGAATTAAGAAATAAAAGAAAACCGCACAATTTGATTTTCTAGCCACCTTATTATTATTGCATGATGTATCTATTAGCAACCGTCGCGGTCATCTGAGGCTTAGACGATGATTAGGTATACGGTACATGTTTGTAAAAGTGAAAAGTAAAGCCGGTATCATTGAAAATAGATTCAGCAATCGTTAAAGAAATTCTCGAAATTGAAGAAAGCATCGCCATTAAACTAGAGGGCTTGTAATAGTTCATGGGTGATAGTTACGTCTCATTGTAGAACGTACTTCCATTGAGGATATTTTTATGTTGGGCGCAACTAGGTTTTTTGATGCACTCCAAGAAGTGCGCTATCCTCCTGTTCGTTACGCTGTA